GAGCAAAACGGCTGCTTTAAACCGGTTGCAAAGATTATGAACTGGAATGTACCAGAAAACTGAGGCACGATGGGGAACAAACAAAATGAGTGAGGAAACGTAGGGAGGGAATCCGAATATGAGTTAACGAGAGATTACAAAAGGTTACTATAACTATGTAATCTTCTTGACAGTTTAAGACATCCATGATCCCAAATGGCGCTGCTGACGGCACAAAGGGACTCAAGTGCAAATGTCTGCATCATAGATTGATGAAACACAGGTTACAGAAACCATGGTATGCATCACTACGATGGATGACGTCATACACCGTGTTTTCTGAAGAGCGATATCTCCGTCAATACCGGTCGCAGATTCTTGAGGTTTCAACAGATCTCACATCCATAATTTTGGCCACTCCTAAGTTTAAAACATCCAATTACGATTATGTGACCAGCGCAACCGACCATCTAACCATTTTTCTCGGCCAAATTCCCCCCCCCCCAAATCTCCCCAATTTATTTGTATCAGTTTCTATAGATTGCTTTCGACGTACAGACTCTTCATAATTTTTATCTCTTCTAACTCAACCGAACAGATATCTTCAAAAGAAGAATAAGCAAACACTAGGAGAAGGCAACGCTTTACACGTTTTCAGGGCATATCGATATGTTTGAAGAAGTCAAGGTGTGAAGTAAGATCTGTGCCACGGTACTTACACCTATTTCCATACTGTTTCTTTGAAACTTAGCGCCATGCAGTGGGTTAAAGTCAAATACTGAGAGATTGTATAAAACGGTAGTTTTGTTGCCACTTGTCACTTCGTTAGATACATATGATGTTAGTGTCACATTACCTTTCTTGAGAATCCAGTCAAATTTTTATTTTAAGACGAACATTGGTGTGTATTGTCATTGCCGTATCATGCCTCGTCAACTGTAAGCAAAATGTATAATGATTGAAACCTTCTAATTATTTAAAATTGATTTGGAGATAGGCATTTTTTTCCTCGGTTAGAAATACGGCAACAGTGTTTGTCGTTGTTATCCAGTCTAATTAGCGTATTGTTTGTTGGCTGCTACTGGACGGTAAACCTTTCCCCAAAACTGTTATTTCTGATTTTTTCGTTTCTCATCATGAATATCTCTAATGGACATCGTATAAAACACCAAGTTAATGTAAGTTGACCAGCACCTCAATAAAACCCCTCTAAGTATCTTAAATTGCAATGCATGTAAAAGGGATTGGACAAGCAATGGACATTTATTCTTAGGAATGTGAATGCCACTTAAAATCATGTATACATTAATTTGAAGTTCACGATTTTTGCACTAATTATTCAAAACGCCATTAGAGAGTGAGTTTTTTCCTTGGGAAAATAAAATAATAATCTAGTTAATGCAACTTCTTCAATAAGTATAACCCTCAACATAGTATAAACATATGATGAGACATGTTGAGGGAATTGTATGCGCTTCAAGGTACTTCCTGGTAAAATTTATAAAAAAATTCGCAAGGTTAAAAGTCTTTAGGATTTTTTTGGTGTAAATTTGATCTCCAGTCTACTTCAGAGTTTCATCTGAAGGTCCTTCTTCTAGCACAAAATTTTACTTCAAGTCCATATTTTAAATCTTTACCACCAATTTTCCTCTCTGAGAGCAAGTCCATGCAGATTATTATTATTTTTTATTTATTTAATTTTAAAAAAAAAGTCTAGCACATGTATAGACACTATGTAATGCGGGAATAATAAATAGATAGAGTGGATAGTCTAAAATGTTTAGGTAGGACATAGATGCAGATGGACACTTTGCCATTGGATGCTGGAAGCAATAAATGAGAGAAAGAGAGGAAGGAAGGAAGAGAAGTGGGCACGTGAAATTTCTCGCAACAGTGAAATAGCTGGGTAGGCGCATTTAAAGTGTTAATTGTTTCTCGCCATCTAACTAGCCTCTGACCCACTCACAGCTTCCAGTGTTGCAGAATTGTGCAAATCAAATTTATAATGGTCATAGTTTTTTGCTAAACAGAATAAAATGACTCATCAACATCATTCGGTAAGATCCTATGAAAGAGAGCTGAGAATTTATTTTGAACGGATTTAGAAATGGGCTAGATAGAAAATCCATGTCTTCCCATACTGTAAATTCTCTGACCTTCCCTCCCGTAATTTTTCATGTTTAGAGGCAGTTTGTTTTGCCGTTCTACTGGGTCGATTTCTATGATTTTTGCGGCTATCAACGGTTATAATCTCGCAATGTGTCCACCCTATTCAGAATTTATTCAGAAGTCCAGGCTTCTTAATATTACGTGATAAAATTGCAAATTCTCCCATTTAAACAAAGTAAATTTTCATTTTTTGTCACAGTTCGTTCTACAAATATATCAGGTCAATTTCCATGATTTTTGCGACTATCGGTATAGGAGGTAGATGAGCCCGTTTACTTCAGATTAACTCAAGGAATCACAAAACGGGTTTCTGGGGATTATGAGCCGCGTGGCGGCCAGGGAGCGCACCCCTTAGCATTAAAATAACCCACATGCGATTCTTACTGGATGATTTTTCAAATATGGGCCGAAAATGTGTGCATGAAATTATGCTTCAAGATTTGTGCCTTACAATCTCACAACATTCCTCATCCTCAAATAATAATTTACTCGGAGACTTTAACGAACGGCTACAAATGTAAGAGATATGCCGCGTCGTTTGCTGATTCCTACTCGCCATTGAATTTAGCGGAAGCTACTTGATCCTTTTATGGACTGTGTTATATTTTACTTATACGTGAATTTGTGGAGCACTTTTGAATAAAAAATATTTTTCAAGCGTACTACTGAATAAAATTCTCAACTCATAAAATGACCCAAGATGAGGAGTATTTTCACCCGCATAACAGGTAATTAAATCTCGATAAAGCTCAAAATTTCAATTTTATACAGATAAATTGACAATCCACAGCCAGGAGTGTCTAAGTCAGTCATTTTTCTGCAACGCGTCTGAAGGACCATACGAAAAAAGGGTGCACAAGTGTATTTGTTACTTACGAGATTGCGCAGCGTTCGATGAATTGCATTTCCAATCGATCAAAAGTTTTTTTTTTTGTATGTTCCTATTCCAAATTCATGAGGTAATTTTCCTAAATATTCTTTTGCAGGAATAACTGAATTTTTACCGAAGTAAAATAACGGAGAAGTTGCACAATATTCGTAACACTAGTTGGACATGTGCCCCCATACATTGGTCATAAGTAATGGCGCACTGGTAAAAAAAACCTCTTGGACCAATGCCGCGGTGCATTGATTTAAGAGTGCAGTTTCTTGTCACCGGATTTAAGAGTCTTGAACTCTTGTTTCAAGCGGATTTTGCATTGATTCTAGTGGATTTTGCATTGATTCAACCGGATTTTGCATTGAAACAAGAGTCCAGACTCTTAAATCCGACGACAAGAAACTGCACTCTTGAACCAAGAGGTTTTTTTTTTACCAGTGCGTGGCGTACTGTGCTTAGCGAGATATCGAGTAATCTGCCATTTAAACGAGTAGAAAAGGATCGATAGAAAGGGTGTTCGCAGCGAACACCTTAAAAATCGATATTTTACCATACTTCACATGGGGAAATATCGATAATCGATTAATGAAGCCTCGCCACTGGTCATAAAATGAGTTTTTATGACGATGATCTGGCACGAGGCAGCGGACTCACTCCTAGCCACCATGCCGGTCCTTTTCGCTGTGTGATTCATGCATTCCAAGGCGCGGTACACCACCTGCTCCTCATCACGCAATTTTCGCTGTTGTTGCCGCGCCCTGCTTGTCGTCGCTTGGCCGATTTTTGTTTGTTGGCTCACGTCTTTCGGCTCTTCGGTTTTCGGCAAGATTATCGTGGTGAAAGACTTTCACGCTGTCGTGCTTTGGAAAAACGCCGTATGAGCCTTTAGACATTGCCAGATTTCCTTTACCACACTGAAAAAAAATCTGGGTGTATTTACTAAGAAAAGGGTAAAATTACCAAGAATTCAGGGTTCTATTTGATCCCAGTTTTTTCTTGGTAAAATTAACATTAATGGAATTGGTAATTTTACCGAGAATCTCGGTAAAATTATTGAACTTTCTCGGTAATTTTACCGGACCTTAGTAAAAACGCCAATATTTTTTATCGACTGTGGTAGAATTACCGAGATAAAATGGCAAAGTTACCGGGAATTGATTACCAATAAAAGTGGTATTCTTACCTGAAAAAACAGTAAAAATACCGGTTTTTAGGTAAGCTTACCTGTCTGTGCTGGTAAAACTACCAATAATTAGTAAAAAAGTAAGATGGTCAAGGTACCAACGGACCTTGGTAAAAACGCCGAGAATTTTTTTTCAGTGCAAGAACCAGATTAACTAGAAAATGTTTGAATATTTTTTTCGAATTTTTCAGATAATTTTTTTCGCAATTTGATCCAACATATCTGAAAATTTGACAGGAAAATATGCGTAACTTTTCTCAAACATACATGTTTTATCCGGAGAAATTTGGCAACTCTCGAATGTTCATACGGCGTTTTTCCATACTACGGCAGCACGGTGTTGTTGCCATTTTCTGGTAAACCTTGGGATTTTATGGATTTGGCGGGGCATGAAACCGATATACCTGTAGTTTTTTTTTTTTTTTTTTTTTTTTTTTTTTTTTTTTTTTTTTTTTATCGTTTATTTGCCGAATTTAATTAGTACAAAGAAGACGTTTTCATACAATTAATGAAAGAGGAGATAATGAAAATGCTACATAGGGTATATAAAAAGAAAAAGGGACAGAGGCCTCTGAAAGAGACTGGAGGCTAGGCGTTGAAGGGCAGGACTTCCATTGAGTAAAGGAAGTAAACCTGTAAATACAGAAAGGTCCAGCAGTGTTAGCACCCATCTCTGAGGCAGGAGAATACCACCACAATCCACGATTTCCCCCACTTTTAATATTGAGCTTTTGTCTTAGTTTTTGGTAAGAAACATTTCTGAACCATTTGTCGTTTTTAATGTTTCAGATCTGGTCACACACCCCTTCGCCCTTTGATTTCTTGGGCCGCCAAGAATGAAGAAAGAACTGTACCACACAAGCAGAGCAGCCGTTCCAGTATTCGTGTTTGTATGCTTACTACAGGTAAGTTGGAACATCTTTTATTTACAATAAAATTACACAATCATAACCATAAATGGATTGCATTTTGTAAAAAGGAACCACTAGCATTGCAATGATGCTAAGATTGTGCAACTTCATCTTTTGCAATAAAATTGCGGAAATCGTGAAAAATTATGAAATTTAGATGGTAATTTTTGTCTTAATTTACAGTTTTTAGCGAGTAAAATAGAAAATATTAATGGATAATCGGGTATTTCCTCCAAGACAAAAGAAGTTGCACAATCTTAGCAACATTGCAATGCTGGTGGTTCCTTTTTGCAAAATGCAATCCAAATAATCGGTTAGCAACACTCATCGTAGGCACATTTTACTTAGTTTTGGGTTTCAATTTGATTAGAATCTCTATCAAAACTACTCAGTGACTTTTCTCTTGAATGAATGGGTAATCGTGAAAAATTTACTTAAAAGTGTTCTTAACATTTTAATAGAAATGCTGTAAAATAGTATGCTAAGTTTACTCTCACTTCAGTAAGTAGGATGAAACGTCGGAAATTGCAATCAGAGGACTTTCCTTAGTTTCGTTTGAGTAACTTATTGACTGAACGTAAAATGTTCGTTTGACATAAAAGTTCATTTCCTTCAATGACAATAAATATAGTGCATCAGTTCAAACCTCTCACACGTCCTTCAATCCTCCGAAGCAATTTCCTCCACCGCGTTACATGAAAATAATTGCTGCTCATACATGAGCAGTAAGTGGCAAGTGTTCATACAGCATTAAATTGCAATTTCTTGGAACATCCAATAGATACTGCATCGGTCAATAGCTCACTTAGGTCGGAGAATAAGAAAGTTTCCACTCTAAATATTTTGATAGCGTCTATCTCTTGAGGCAACCGAGCTTATTAGCTGCGATGCCAAGTGTGACTTAAAAATCTGATTTAAACTCGTAAACATGGATACACTTACGGCATATTGCTAACGTTGCATTTATTGGTCTCGTGTTAAGTGAGTATCGCCTAACTAGGCTTACGATTCTCATCAACATACTCGTCAGTACTTGGCGGATTTCGCGTGGAGCATATGCAACGATTTATACAAGTTGGCAACAATGTTTTTTTCTCCTTCTAAATGTAAGTTGAACAATCGATTTTGGGCGCGTTAGCCTGCCTCATCTAGAATCGATATATTCAATGTATTGAAATGAAGTATCAACAGTGTTGCCAACTTGCTGGAATCGCCCCTGGTTTGAATCCCTTTCAATCAGAGTTTCCCGAGCAATGGAGTTTTTACATGTGCAAGGGATTTGCGATCTTAGTACTTTTTCTTGCGTAAAATTTTACGATAAAAACGATGGTGCCACTGGTTTTCTCTGGAACGAACTCAAAAACTCAAAAAAAGTTCCAAAGTCGAGGCAATAATACAGGGATATTCCACGCAATCTTAAGAGTCCACCTGTTATTTCAAGTCAAACCCTCCGTACAAAGATAGGGAGCAAATACAATCGCAGAGGTGCCGTGTTTCCAGTTTTGGAAGCCCCAAACAAAGTGGCAACCCTGTTAATGTATTTGTTCCCTATCTTTGCACGGAGAATTTGCCTTGATATAGAAGTGGACTCACAGAATAGCGTGGGATATCCCCTCCATTACGGCCTCAACTCTGAGGGTTTTTTTGAGTTTTGGAATTTGTTTCAGAGAAAACCAGTGGCACTATAGTGTTACTCGTTCCTTAAATCGGAAATTCCTCACACGTTCAAGATCTCCATTCTCAGCGCCCTAAAATCAGATAGGTTTCTAAATTAACAAGCTTGAAAGAGGAGTCCGAGCTTGGTAGCAGAAAATTCAGGAGGCTATGCTGCACTGAGAATGGGACCAATCTGGCTCAAAACGCGTCTGCAGTTTTTCCCTGAGTGGTCGTTACTAGTATTGCACCAACAGCACATATCTTTGATGGAAAATTGTGCTCTTGTGAGCTTTTTCCCTCTATATTGATATGTTCAGCTTTATGCTGATTTTTAACGCACATTGGCTACGTCACCAACTCTTCTTAGCTTGAAAGTATTGAGAAGACACTGCGTGGAATAACTTTTACAGTGTGATGTGAGATGACGGGATTAAGCATTGCGCTAGGGCTCCAGGGAGAAGGCCAGGAAATATTTAGCTAAAAGAGTCTGATGATGAGAGTTCCTCGGGAACGTCAGGCGCTGTGCACGTAGAGACTTTAACGCACGGATAGAAAAGTGAACAAATAATTTATTTCATTTTTTGAAGACTTATTGACAGTTCATTTTGTACAAAATTAACTCTTCGTTGATCACTTCCCGTCTCTTAGCTCTTCCTAAATATTTTAAGAAAGGATGCATGTTCCAGCAAAAATTTAATATCGGCAATAATCGTAACGGAACATTTTGCAAACTTTCCCGGTGGCTTTTTCAGCTTGAAAGTGTTGAAAAGACACTGTCCCGCCAAAGCGAAAACTAAAATTTTCCTATGGGAAGTGCAGTGCACGATAATCGAATAAAATGCGCTTTTCAAGCGGCAACATGGAATAACTTTTACTGTATGATGTGAGATGACGGGATAAAGCATTGCGCCAGGGCTCCAGAGAGAAGGCCAGGACGCGGACGATTCTGCCGGGCGAAAATATGCAGTAGTATCCCGGCGGATAGGGGGGGAGGGAGGTGAATTGCTATCACTACCATATCTAGTTCCGTTACAAATCCTCCTTATTTTCCGTTCCGCTTTTGCTTTCTCTCGACGAATCGGATGAATAATGCATGTTCCGATGGTTGCATACGGAGCGACGCCCGCCCATCGCGCGGGTGGCGTCGCGTCGGCCTCCGGAGGCACATGAGACATGAGTGATCAGTGCAATTCAATTTATTTACGTCCACTGTCCTTCTCGTCCGTCTCGAGTGAGTACCACGGGATCGGAGGCGGGGCCTATATTTTAATGGCAGGCCACTTTCATTTGGACCGCGTTAGGCAGAAAAGAAGCAAGTCACATCGGATTTATTGCCAATTTTAATTTCTCACAAGAGGTCAGTCGTGCGGATGTTTGTGAAAATTTCAGTGAATTTTCTGCATGGTACGAGGCAAATTTCTCAATATTTTCAAAGGGATCCGCACAAACGTACTCTTGTAAAAAATTAAATTGTCCAGTTAAATTTGGCAGGAGCTGATGTGGCTTGGTTCCTTCCTCCTTAAAGCGGGCCATTTGTTGATGGTAGTGAGTGAGTTTGCCTTAGTTGATTGACGCTTTCAATGGAACGTCCATTGAAGACACAAAACTTGCTTCTCCAAGGATTCATGAAAAAATGTGCAAAATTATTTTTAAGTAGCCGACAATCTCCCTTTGAGATTATATTCGTTCTTTCTTCACTCTTCTTAAGTTTGTCCGAGAAGTTTTCCAAATATTTGGCCGAGTGAGTTCGAGATTGCGAGTTTCCCGGAAGAGTCAAGCGCTGTACACTCAGAGACTTGAACGCACGGATAGAAAAGTAAACAAACAATTTATTTCATTTTTTGAGGACTTATTGTCAATTAAGTTTATAAAAATTAACTCATAATATTTAATTAATCCTTTCCCTTCTCTTAGCCCTTTATAAATAATTTGAGGAGGAAAGAGTGCATGTTGTAGCAAAAATTCATAGCGAGAATTATCGTAGGGGAACATTTCTGCAACCGTCTCCGGTGGCTTTATTCGAAGAATAAACAATCTTTGTTTCTAAGTGCTCGTGCAGTTACGATTCATGGAAGTTGGCAAGACTGATGTATGTAAAACAATCGATTCTTGGTGCCGCAGCTTCACTTACCTAAAATCGATATTTTTAATGGATTTAAATTGAAGAAAACAATGTTGCCAACTTTCAAAAATCGCCACTAAGCCCATACGTGTGTTTCTCTGTAAAGGCTACCTGAAAAAACTATGGTTTATAAACCTATTAGAGGTAAATATGGAACACCTATAATAGTCGTAAATAAACTAATGATTCTCGGTCTGTGAACCATACTAAGGTCTCTGTACCTAATTAAGGTACCCCGTACCATAACTAAGGTATATGTGCTATTATTATATGTAGAGGTACTACTATTAGTGGTGTTCCATATTTACCTCTAATAGGTTTATAAGCCATAGTTTTTGGAAAAGTATACTTCAGCTGGGAATCTCATTCCCGGGAACGGAAAAGTTCCCACGTAGATCCCAAAGCGAGCGACTTATCTTTTACCGGGAGGAATAAACCGATCGGCCGGTCAAAGCGGAGCGATCTACGATGGAGCTTTCGATTTATCGCCCCGGAGAGGAATAAAAAAGCTCTTTCACCCGGGGATCAGCGCCGCGGCGACGAGGTGATCCGGAGATGGATCGCGGCTCGGCCGGCGTTTGGGTGAAAAGAAATCAATCAGAGAGGCGGATCGGCGGAATTAAAAAGTGAAAAACGGAAAACGAAATGAATGGATCGGGGAGCAGTGGAAAGTCGGAGAAACGGAGGTCGGAGTGATCGTATTTGGCACATACATCGTTTTAATTGTCACATTAGTGAGTTTTTACGAGCGCCGGTATGGAATCGTGCGGGCAGTCACCGCAACATGGTATCGGCCAGACTCCCGCCCCGCCCGCCCCGCCGCACGGTGGATCGAGTCAATAGGAGAGGTCGGACAAAATCTGGAAACTTTAAACGCTTTTAACTCCGTTCATACAACGCTCTGAGGTTCTCAAAGTGGTTTCATTAGTTTCCTCAAGAAATGCTCTTCTAAAAGCACACCTTGAAATTTAAAATGTGACGAAATAAACATCAAAATTTGCTGTTTTTGTCAATAATTTCTTGTCCGACCTCTCTAATTGACTCGATCCACTGTGCGCCGCCCCGCCGCGCGACGCTCGCCCGCGCTCGCTTGCAGTTGCCACTCACCGAGTCACTAAGTCATCGAGTCAACGGGCTCTCTCGCACAGTGGAACTGGAGCGGCTCCGAAAAAAATTTACATGCGCCAACATCCGGTTACATCAGCGATGGTTTTCC